AAGGAAATTTAAATGAATAGCATACAGCTGTCCAATTTCAGCATGTTTTGCATGCGCCGGAACGCTTGCTTGCTTTTGCATCATGCATGTCGAAATTCATGAAGTGGATATCATCTTAATATAACCAGCTTTGCAGTGCACCCCTGTTCACCCTCAAGGGGATAAACAGTCGACTGTAAGGAATACAAACATGCCCGCTCTTGGAGCTCTAGGGGAGTGTGCACATATTTTAAAGACCGGGCTGGATGTTCGAGTCTCTGGATGTGGTCTTTATGAGGCTCTGAGGGCAGCTCTCACAGGAACGCTGATTTAATGTCTACGGGATCCATCTTTCCATCCAAGGTAGCTGAGTCTTGTTGAGCGTGCTGTGTCATTAGTGGGGTAAACAGGTGCTGAGACGTTCTAAAATTCTCAGCAGGCATAGAGGGGCGGAACGGGGGTGGCATGGAACGTGTGCCTCCCAGCAACCGTCTGGATCCCGGCCAGCCCGTATCCATGTTGTTGAAAGGAGTGTTATTATAGTTGTATATTACTGTTGTTTCCTCTCTTCCACTTGAATGCCACACAGCTGAGTGAGTTTAGAAACATAAACATTTGAAAATGTTGCAGGATGGAGTTTTTTTTTTTTTTTTTTTTTTTTTTTAAAAAAAAAAAAAAAAAAAAAACTCTAGCTTTCTATTCTACTTGTTTTTCTTTGTTTGTGTATATATATATATCTGTGGTATCCAAACTGAAAAAAAAAAAAAAAACTATTTTTTTTGGGCAGGACTGTTTGTTTGTTCTGCCAGTGGCAGACTTGTTCTGGAAACCTGTCTGAAAACAGTCAATATTGTTAAAATTCTGTTTGAGTAGTGTAGAAATTACACATTTTGAAAGGCAAAACTTAAAAATAATAAATAAATATATACAATTAAGTCAAAAAATCAAGCATTTTATAACAAAGATGTCAGTATTTACTGTGAGAAACATCTATAATTAAAAACTGGTAGATAAACTTGTTAGCAGAGTAAACAAATGTTACTGATTTTGCAGACCTCTGCTGTATTCACGTCAACAAAATTGCACGAGATGTTCTGTTAAATCCCTTGACCAATGGCATGTGTTTTGGGGCGGGACTGTCTGGGGGCAGCAGACGTGTTCGAAAAAACCTGTTTGAAAACCGTCAATATTGTTACAATTCTGTCTATTAATGGTAGTAGTGTAGAAATTGCACATTTTGAAAGTCAAAACATAAAAATAATAAATAATTATATATAATTATGCGAAAAAAGCATGCATTTCATAACAAAGATGTCACCGTTTGAGGACAGGTACTGCGAAAAACATCTGTAATTAGTAGGGCGGTGCACAGAATTTCTGCACAGAATAAGGTAAAAAATGTATACTTTATAGTTTCTGTAGGCTACTGTAATAAATTATGTGTCAATTAGCACTGCATCATTCATAAATGTTATTTATTTATTGTGTTTATTGTCTTAACGTTTCAGTTCATTCTGCTTTTTATTCAGTTTAGCTGCAGATATAGCCTGGCACGTCTTAAGTTCTTTGAGCACGAGATCACTTCTCTTTCAGTGCGAAAACTTCTTTATCTCATTTTCATAAAATAAAATGCTATAGTAGGCTATTTAACTTTTCCTCTCCATCGACAAATGATGATTTTGAAAGAAAACGCGCCTGATGTCTGAATGCTACTTTCATGCATCTGATTATCAGATAAACCTCGCGCTCTTATGTCAAGGTTGTTGTTAATGCTGTGGTTATTCCTTCGTAAATTCGGTTGAAGGACATTGTTAAAACACATTTATCATTCAATGGAACTGTGCGTATGCTTTAGACACTCACATGTTTGCTCCGTCCATGCACTGCAGGCGGTACATAGTGGAGTGCGTGAAGGAGAGATGCGAGGCACAAACACTGTTCAAGGTCTCTATTAATTCCTGCTTTTAGTAATTTAATGTGTATATATTTTGAAAGCATTGAATTGCTATAGAAATCGCGATTCATTCAAGCCCTAGTAATTAGATAAACTTGTTGGCTGAGTAAACAGAGCCCACAACCAGATGTTACTGATTTTCCACACCTCTGCTGTATTCACTTCAACAAACTTGCATGAGAATGTTCTGTAAAATCATGTGTTTGGGGTCGGGACTGTCTGGGGGCAGCAGACATGTTCTGGAAACCTGTTTGAAAACAGTCAATTTTCTTCTAATTCTGTTTAATGATGCTAGTGGTGAATAAACTGCGCATTTTGAAAAACAAAAATTAAATGTAAATATATCAAATAAATTAATGCAAAAAAGTAATGGGAGAGTTTAAAAATTGTATAACAACAGTTTCTGCAAACTGTAAATAAAAACAAATGAATAAACTTAGCTCAGTAAACAACGGACGTACACTCAAGTTACGCAAGACCACCACAACCAAATGTTACTGATTTTCCACACCGCCTGCTGTATTCACTTCAACAAACTGGCACGAGATGTTCTGTAAGCTGTCTAGGGTTCCAGAGCCACACAATGTGATTATTACTTATACATAAAAGCACAACCTGACTAGACATGCACTTTCATGAACATGAAATCAACAAGAAAGTTCAGAAACTCTCTGTCCCTAAAATTCAAACCTTAACGGTGCTCTGATTTCACTCATGTCATTTGATGTGGTAACATTAGTACCTCTAGATCATGTTTGATATCAGGGAGGGCCCCGATACGCATAGAGTGCACTTCCACATCTGCTAACGTTTCTCTTTTCTTGGCCTGACTACAGCCGGGTGTTCAACACGTGTATGTGTGGGGTTGCCGGGTTGTTCTTGGTTGGAAATCTGCAGCTCTGGACTGCAAGATTTTTTTCAGTTGCAGAGAGAAATAGAAGATGAAGAACAAGAAGGCAGATTTCGTTCTCAGCTGAATTTCTGACCTATGTTTTTTGAGGCCTGAGGCAACGCTTAAGGATATTCCCTTCAAATTTTCATTTTCACTCTTTTCTTTTCATTCAAAACCAGACACTCTTCAATCATGTCTGAATGCAAATGTAGAAAAAAAAAGAAAAAGAAAAAATGTCCATTTATCCATTACGTTTTTGTTCTTTAAGATATCTTGCTGTACTGTTTAAAAATGTGGGGTCAGTTACTTTTTTTTTTTTTTTTTGGAACAAAACGAATACTTTTATTTTGCAAGGATGCATTAAATTGATCAAAAGTAACGGTAAAGACTTTTTTACATTGTTAGAAAAAAAATCCAATTTCAAATAAAAAAAAAAAAATGCTGTTCTTTTGAACTGTCTGTTTATCAAAGAATTCTGGAAAATGTACCATGATTTCCACAAAAACACAGCTGTTTTCAACTGTGATAAACAGTAAAATAGTAAGCATTTCCTGAGTACCAAATCAGCATAATTAGTCTGATTTCTGAAGGATCATGTGACACTGAAGACTGGAGTAATGATGCTGAAAATTTTGCTTTGCCATCACAGGAATAAATTACATTTAGAAATATATTAAAAATAGAAAACCATTTCTGTTATTTTAAATTGTAATAATATCTCACAATATTATTTCTTACTGTATATGGTTGCATTCTATCATTTTGAATGTTGTCTCTCATGGAATATGAGAGAAGTCTGACACTGAATTGAAAATCTGCCATTCACAATCAAATTTCAACCTAAAGTTTTGGGATTATGTGAAATTTTACACTAAGAAATGCTATGTTTAGCCAACTGATTCAACACACTTAACTGACATGTTCATGTAATCTCTCAGAAGAATAAACGTTTGGTTGGTGGTCTGCAGTGGAGGGTTTCAAACAGTAATCCAGACTCGAGTAAAAACCTTAGATTGATGTACCATATGTGTGGCATGCTGTCAGTTACCTCAGACCATAATTTCAGGGGCATAAATGGACCTTTTTGACCCTTTATATATAATATGTTTCTTGAGAAAAAGCTACTTTTGAATGGCTCTCAGTGCTGAAAGATGCTTTTTTTTGCTCCCTAATGGTGTAGTAACAGCATCTGCCAGCAGGGGCGAACCGAGTCACACTAACCAGCAAATCTAACAACATTAGTTTGGATATCACAATATTTCTTTAATTACATAAATAACGGTGGGCTTGATGTGGTGAAGCCATGCCGTAAAAATTGCTGGAGGAGACATTTGTCTTTTTCGTTGTGATTAGCCAGATTAAATAAGCATGTTCCTTCTAAACATTTGCTTTGAACGCCGTTTCAGCGTGACAAAGATGCTCCACTGTGCGGTGCTAAACAGAAACCATTGCGTGTTTGAAAAAGCATCAATTGGATGGTGATGACATGAGTGTTTGTAGACATGTTCAGTTTAACAGCGGTGAGAAACAGTATAGATATGCGCATAATGTGGCTGCGGGAAACAGTTTACCCTGTCAATCTTCACGTTTCTGCTTTTGATTACAAATTCAATAAACATATTCATGCGCACCATTGTACACCCCTTGAACTGGTAACAAAGGTAAACAAACTGCTGTCAGTATGACCGTAATGTGATTTCGCCATTTTCTCCAAGCCTCTCATTTTTTCGTACCCATGAGGTGCAGTATTCCTAAAACATGTTGAACGCTGCGATGCGGCGGGAATACGGATCCATTCCAGACCTGTGAATCAGTCGGGGCAGGTGGTGTGGGGGGGGGTCCAGCGCTCACTGAAATATTTATCTTTGCCTATCGAACGTCTCGAACCTCAGCAGAGCAGCAAAGATGTACGGAGAGATTTGTGATGAAAACCAAGGAGTCATTGTTCTAGTGAATGACTGTTATTGTAGGGAATGGGACATGAGCTGAAATGTGATAAATTATCAGTAACATGTAATGAATGTTATCTGAGAAGCTGGCATGTGTGTTTTCGGTTCTTGCACAACCACGTGGCTTTTCTCTTTATTGTTTACTAAGCACTCACTGAAAGCTCTGTCTTTAGTTTTTTGGGTGGCATGCTGATGTCTTAAGATGTGTTGTCTTTGTTTCCTGCAGTAACCACAACGTTATCTCCGGGTTCGGGTCACGCCAGAAGATGCAACGAGTCAGAGAAGGCGTACTGCGTGAATGGCGGCGACTGTTACTACATACATGGTATAAATCGGCTATCCTGCAAGTGAGTTTCTCTCCTGAGCCTTTTCTCTCATGTCAATCTGTTTATACTCCTGGTGGATCACACTGTTCTTCACCTTTTCTCTCTCTCTCTCTCGCTCTCTCTCTCAGTCACAGACTCTTGTTGATTACACCAATCCCAACTTTATTTAAATCAAAGGGATTCTACATATTCGCTCTTTCTTAAACTATGGGCATTTTTAGGTCCTGTGCGCATGGGGAAAAAATAAATGAAAAATAATAATAAAAAAGCTGTTCAACAGTGTATATACATTCATCAAGTAATTGATTTGATTTTATTTGAATTTGATCTGATTTGATTTGATTTGATTTTTGAGCCAACAAATGTCATTTCCATCATATTCCAAATTAACAATAACATTTTGGAATAAAAAAGGCTGGCTTCTTTATCTAGCTAATTTCAGAGTCAGCATTTTATGGACTCTAAATAAACTCAGGGAAATAATAATTTCATACTTGCATAGTTGAACAAAATTACAGCTCGGAAATGATATACTATAAAAAAATATTCTGTTTGTAAGCAAAATTGTTGGTGGTTGTGGAAATGATAGCACCAAAAATGGCTGTATATCATTTATTTGCTTGTAATTTTTTTCAAAATAAGTGTTGTGGAGGTTTTTTTTCTTTTCTTAATTTATAAGATTTAAGACTTAAGATTTAAGGTTTGTATGCATGTGTATATATATATATACAGGTGCATCTCAATAAATTAGAATGTCATGGAAAAGTTCATTTATTTCAGTAATTCAACTCAAATTGTGAAACTCGTGTATTAAATAAATTCAATGCACACAGACTGAAGTAGTATAAGTCTTTGGTTCTTTTAATTGTGATGATTTTGGCTCACATTTAACAAAAACCCACCAATTCACTATCTCAACAAATTAGAATACTTCATAAGACCAATAAAAAAAACATTTTTAGTGAATTGTTGGCCTTCTGGAAAGTATGTTCATTTACTGTACATGTACTCAATACTTGGTAGGGGCTTTTGCTTTAATTACTGCCTCAATTCGGCGTGGCATGGAGGTGA